TTCTCAGCCCTTAGCCCTAAGGTCCCCACAACACCCAACACCCCTTACCCCTCATCTCTCACCCTCACCCCTCATCTCTCACTCCTCATTTCTCATCCCTCACCCCTCATCTCTCACCCCTCACCCCTTACTGACCATCTCTCACCCCTCGCCCCTCACCCCTCTCCCCTCTGTGAGCATCTCCCTTTGTTAGGTGTGAACATCAAGATGTTTGTTTGTTTACGTCGGTATATGTGGTGTGTTATAGATGGCAGACCATGAGCAAGTCATAAGAGGAATAAACAAGATCCCGGGCATTTCCTACCCAGTGCTCACTCCAGACCTCAAAGGTTTTCAAGCAGCAGTCAGTAGCTACATGAATACTATGGCTTAGTTTAAATAATGTAATAAAGAACTGAGGGTCAACCACCTTTTTCCATGGTCTATGTTCCTATAGACCTTAAAATTGAAGTCAAAATGTTCAAAACTGAAATGGAGCCAGTGTTTTGAATGTTTTTTTTTTCATATTAGACCATGGAAATATTTTAAATAGTACCAAGTGTTTATTTAAATTTCAAGTGACATATAGAAACTTTTTGACTGTGTTGGCAAATGACATCACAAAGATCTTCTGAAAATTTTGAAAGTTCCATTATCTTCTCAGTTGTAATACTGCTACAACTCTGATTGCAGTGCCATTCTTTACAGCATCAGACAATTTACATGACCAGATGGGAGTCTATTACCAGATTTCACCACTCTTCATTTTTNTCTCAGTTGTAATACTGCTACAACTCTGATTGCAGTGCCATTCTTTACAGCATCAGACAATTTACATGACCAGATGGGAGTCTATTACCAGATTTCACCACTCTTCATTTTTGTAGATAAATACATTGTACAGACAGTAGTTGGTGATACTTTGTCTTTTTAGCTGGACTGTGGTGTGAAGGAAGTAGCCATCTTTGGTGCAGTTTCAGAGTCCTTCACTAGGTGAGAAAATGTGGTCAAGGAGTTTTCATTGTGCTGTTCCATAAAATACATGTATCCATAATCCTCAAAGCCCTGTCACCCTACCAGAGATTTCTGCTTGGATGTTAATTTCATCTAAAAATTTTGTCTTGTGGCTCTCTTTGGCTTATGTTGGCAAATGCCTGTTGTGTTTTGTGACCATACAATACATGTACATTGTAAGAGTTTCTTTTTTCTTAATACATCAGTTAAAAATCTTTACTTAAAAGATAAATGCAGATGTACATTTACACATTTTAATTTGTGACTGTTTCGTGTGTCAAATATCAAAAAATTTACAGGGATATTCAATTGGGATTTTATATGTTTGAATGACATGCCAATGTTACTTTTACATGTAATACCTTTTATGTTTAGAAAGAATATTAATTGCTCCATTTCAGAAAGCCTACAAAGGTTTGAAGCTGTCTGCAAAGCCGCAAGGAAAAACAATATTCCTGTAAGAGGGTGAGGTTTTCACACTAATTCTATGACTGTTCTTATATGTATACAGCAAATGTTTCATAACAATAATGTTTGTTAAATGTTTACCTCTGAATTAAAATGAATTAAGTTACCATTTGAAGTGAGACATCTTATGTTCTCGTTTCATGTCGTATTTTTAGTTTGAACTTTCATTTTCTCCTGCCCTCAGCATTGTAGCCAGTTATGCTGTCATAGCGAGTAATCACTAGCATTCCAGGCTTGTCATATTTTGTGGTTTGATGTTATACTGCTCAGTGGTTTCACTGTGAGACAGTTGTTACAACTGTCTCACAGTGAAACCACTGAGCAGTATTTGCTGGTTCTTGGAAAGTTTATCAGCTCTGAAATCTGCAAATGATACAGTGTAATAATGTAATACCCAGTTCACACCAACAAGTTGTCAATTAAAACGTTTTTATAAAAGTGGGTTAACTAAACAAGGTTAAAAATTAGTTGCTCATACCATGCACATCCCACAACTTAACATGGTAAGAACCTGTTTGATTAAAATATTTTAGCAATAATTTAACATGGTTTGAAATTTGTCCTCTCAAAATGACTGCAAGGCACAATTGACTAATTGGAAAAACCTAAAGTTTAGGTTAAACTTGATTTAGTGGAACTAGTTTAGTTGATGTGAATGAGGCATTAGTTGTCTTAGTTTGTGTTAGGCAAAATATGTATGAAAACATTTCTGAGATTACCTACTGAGTTTTCCATTAGTTCATAATCCTTGTGGTTTGTGTTATTTGTAGATATGTTTCCTGTGTTGTTGGTTGTCCATATGAGGGATTTATTGCTCCCAAGGCCGTAGCTGAATGGTAAGATTTAAAATCGTCAATGGGCATCTAGCTAAGCCTTACTTATTTTTAATTAGTAATTATTAATTATCTATTGTAAGTTTATCCTTCATGTTCAGCAATCTTGGCAATCAGCTAAATACATGTCATCACCTTTCCTGGTCGTCCTCTTAGCCACAGAAGGAAACTTCAAGCCTATTTTTTTTTGTTTCGGTTTATCTGGCCAGTTCTTTCAGAAACTCCAGTATGTTGTAATACCTCAAGGCAAGTGAAGTATTGATACTCCAGCTGTTACAGCTGTACTCCTGAACTTGCTTATACCCTGCATTTATACACCTGAGTGGAGACTCTGAGGTACTCTGAGAGTAAAGG